GTCCGTGTTGGGGCTGCCCACGTCCGGGGTGGCGCTGTGCGAGGGCTCGCTCGTGTGGTCCCCGTCCCCGTCCCCGTCCCCGTCCGAGAAGTTCTCCGAGCTGAAGGTCGACAGCGACTGCCGCTTGCTCATGGCTGGGGGCCACCTGGGTTGGAGGGGGGGTTGGGAGGGGGAAGAAATGCTGAGGACCCAGGCGTCCGGGTGCCCCCCAGCACCCCCACTGCACCCTTCTCCATCCTGGGAGAGAACCCAGGCGTCCTGGCACCCACCAGCCCCCTTTGCACCCATTTCAGGCATTCGGGCACCCAGTGGTCCCTCTGCACCAGTTCTAGGTGTGCAGGCACCCACCAGCCCTCTTGCACCCATCTCCATCCCAGGAGTGCACCCAGGTGTTTGGACACCCACCAGCCCCCCCTTGCACCCATCTCCTCCCAGGAGTGAACCCAGGTGTTTGGACACCCACCAGCCCCCCCCTTGCACCCATCTCCATCCCAGGAGTGCACCCAGGTGTTTGGACCCCCACCAGCCCCCCCTTGCACCCATCTCCTCCCAGGAGTGAACCCAGGTGTTTGGACACCCACCAGCCCCCCCCTTGCACCCATCTCCATCCCAGGAGTGCACCCAGGTGTTTGGACCCCCACCAGCCCCCCCTTGCACCCATCTCCTCCCAGGAGTGAACCCAGGTGTTTGGACACCCACCAGCCCCCCCCTTGCACCCATCTCCATCCCAGGAGTGCACCCAGGTGTTTGGACCCCCACCAGCCCCCCCTTGCACCCATCTCCTCCCAGGAGTGAACCCAGGTGTTTGGACACCCACCAGCCCCCCCCTTGCACCCATCTCCATCCCAGGAGTGCACCCAGGTGTTTGGACCCCCACCAGCCCCCCCTTGCACCCATCTCCTCCCAGGAGTGAACCCAGGTGTTTGGACACCCACCAGCCCCCCCCTTGCACCCATCTCCATCCCAGGAGTGCACCCAGGTGTTTGGACCCCCACCAGCCCCCCCTTGCACCCATCTCCTCCCAGGAGTGAACCCAGGTGTTTGGACACCCACCAGCCCCCCCCTTGCACCCATCTCCATCCCAGGAGTGCACCCAGGTGTTTGGACCCCCACCAGCCCCCCCTTGCACCCATCTCCTCCCAGGAGTGAACCCAGGTGTTTGGACACCCACCAGCCCCCCCCTTGCACCCATCTCCATCCCAGGAGTGGACCCAGGTGTTTGGACACCCACCAGCCCCCCCCTTGAACCCTCTCCATGCCCGGAGGGGCCCCACGG